AACCGTTGGGTTATTTAACCCAACCAAAACTTTTGAATATTGAAACTGAAATGCAGGAGAATATGGAGAGTTTGAGAAATTCCAGTTATAATAAATTAATAAATGGTATGGAGAAACCTTTTGCAGGAAAGGAATATGAAGAGTTCTAATTGGACGGTATATATTTATTTTGGATTTATAAATGAATGATCATGATTTATTAAGAGAGGAATCCCAAGCCACTTTTATATAGTAGTTGATATATCAGTCAAAAATTACCTTGATAGAGCACGAATCTCGAAGCTAAATCAAGTTGGGAACTTCAAAAATAAATCGGAACCATCTGAATTTTGATTTCAGCAAACTTACAGTCAACTGAGCATCTCAGAAACACGAACCCAACGACACCAAAATCAACCCAATCCAAGCCCGAATGAGTCTAAATCAAAGACTCGAAGCACTTTTAGAAGGATCAAACCATAATTTGGGTTACCGAACAATCTCCAATCATGACATGCTTATAGTCGAATCGAGCGGCTCGACGAGACGAATCCAACGAGCCAAAGATCATCAAATTCTGATATCATTAAAACAGTCAAATATCCATTGAACAATGCATGATCTTAAGAATCAAGATCGGCCGTCCATCTGAACCACTCCAAATTGACCCTTAATCTTCCACTTATTTACAAGTCATGCCACTCAAGAATTCTATAAATAGAACCCCATTTCTACTTGAAAAGGGGGAAGAGCCAAGAGAGAAAAAGGAAGAGAAGAAAGAAAGCTTTAGCCGCATTGCTCCTCCTTGACCACAGCCGAAGTTCTGCCGCACCACCGTCAGAGTTCTGTCGCTCCACCGCCAGGTTCTGTCAAACCACAACCAGGCCATCCAAGGAAGTCAAAGTGCCACCCGAAGCTGGAGTGCCCCTTGATGCTGAAGTGCCACTATCGGAACACCGCCTGACACTGGAGTGCTGCCATACCAACACCTGAGGTCCGAATTTCTGTCGGATCACCACCTAACTCCCAGAGTTATACTGGAGTACCTCCCTACTACTACGGTCCTTCCAACTTCTGTGGCCTACTACGATCTTGTTTGACCTCTGTCCTATCGACTATGGTCCTACCAACCAAATAAATATGTCTATATTTATATAATGTGCTCTATGTGATGTACATTTAAGACATCAAGCCAAGGCCTTCTTCCAAGGAAGGGCCTCATTTGTAATCAACTGCAAATACTAGTGGATTCTTTCAAACTGGGCTAGGCCCCATGGTTTTTCCCCCTTTTTAGGGGTTTCCACGTAAAAACTCTGGTGTCTCTTATACATATTGCACCATCTCTCTTTCTCTTTCATCTGCCTGTGTGTTGGATCTTCGTACAACACTAAGACGTTAAACTATATACTTCTCTACCGCCGCAAATATTCCAGGACGAAACAGTTTGGCGCAGTCTGTGGGAATATGGTTCCTGACTGGGGGGGGCAACTATTGCTCCAGTCTCAAAAGATCACTCTTATTAACTTCCTGACATCAGTCATTGCTATATCAATATCATAAGAATTAAATATGGACTGGGGGCAACTTTGACTACAACTGTGGTCAAAAAGATCCTCTAAAACTTTCATCATCAAGATGATATTTCAAAAAAATTCTAGCAAATACAAGGATACTTCCAATCAATTATATGCTTTATACAGTTCATTGATGGACTTCTACTCCTTGGGCAAGGTCTTAATCTCAACCTCAAAAAGACAGTAACGATCTAAAGATAGACTATTTTTTATCTTTGATTCGGGATACACGCGGTGTTTTCCCTCTCCCAATCAAGGCAAAATCGATCTCATGGGGATTCGATTCGACCTCTTCCACACAGGTTAACGTCAACGAGCAGTTCTCTAACATACAATCTTGGATAGATCTTACATCCTTGGAGGATTCTCTCGACCTCTTCCATACAGGTTAATGTTGTCGAGAAAAGGCTCCGACAGACTACCTCGAATAAGTCTTACATCCTTGGTGGATTCTCTCGACCTCTTTCATACAGGTTAATGTCGTCGAGCAAAGGCTCCAACATACAACCTCGGATAGGTCTCACATCCTTGGTGGATTCTCTCGACCTCTTCCATACAGGTTAACATCATCGAGCAAAGGCTTCGACATACAACCTTTGATAGGTCTTGCATCCTTGGTGGATTCTCTTGACCTCTTCCACACATGTTAACATCATCGAGCAGTGCTCTAACATATAACCTCGGATAAGTCTCACTTCTTTGGTGTATTCTGTCGACCTCTTCCATACAGGTTAATGTTGTTGAGCAAAGGCTCCGACATACAATCTCGGATAGGTCTTACATCCTTGATGGATTCTCTTGACCTCTTCCACACAAGTTAACATCATCGAGTAGTGCTCTAACATACAACCTCGGATAGGTCTCACATTTTTGGTGGATTCTCTCGACCTTATCAACACAGGTTATCATCATCCAGTAATGCTCTAACATATAACCTTGGATAGGTCTTATATTTCTTATTGGATTCTTTCGACCTCTTCCATAGAGGTCAACATCATCAAGTAATGCTCTGATATATATATATATATTTGTTCTGCAAAATCAATCTCTATCAGCCTAGCTCGCTCCACTAACTCAGAAAACTCTTGAATATGTAGAGGCACTAAGGGATGCCTCAGCTGCCAGTTCAACCCTTGTAGAAACCTGTAGCACTTGTTTTCAGTTGTATGGATTAAGCGAGTAGTATACCTGGCAAGAGCAGTAAATTTAGCCTCATACTATATCACTATCTTGCATCCTTGCTCCAACTTAATGAAAGCTTTATGTATCTATCGTTAGGTTGATAGAGGTATAAACCACATCTAAAATACTATAGTGAACCCATCCCAAGTGATACCAATATTTATCTTCCCTTGAAATTTCTCTCTTTGTTTTCCCATCTGCCATCTCTCAACCTCTCCTTCAAACAGGAATACAGCTAATGGTACCATCTATTTCTCCGGACACTGCATGCTGCCAAAGATTTTACTTTCATAATACATTTAATGATTGACATCTAGGGGATTACAAATGAGTTATCACAATCATTATAAAGAAAAGACTAGGATATTGAAAATGCAATGAAATTGATGTAAATATTTAAACATCAATTACAGATGTTAAAGGAAAGTGGATGGAGTGTTTTACTATATAAAATTTCTATTTTTTTATAGTGTTTTCAAAGTTGATATTCCTAATATGATTGTTACATATAAAACTCGTCGTAGGTAGTACAAAGAGGTGAAGAAATGACAAAATTATTATGTTAAGTTATTCTATAATATAATTGACATGCAACTTTAAGAGCTAAATAATCAATTTTTTGAATATACTACTGAGTTACTTCTTTGTATGGTATGTCTAAACACAACTAATACCTTCCAAGCTTATGTTGAGAAAAAAAATTAATACATCTGACAGAGTTATATCTAAGTAATTTTTCTATAATTGACATTTTGGCTCTTTAAAAATTAATTATCAACTTATTTTATTGATATATATACTAGTGATGAGTTCTCCTCTCTAAGCAATATTGTTGATCTTTCAAAACAAATTATTAAGTTCAAGAAGTATGGTGTGTATCCTCTTATTTACAAACTCATTATTTTAGCATTAACTTTATCAGTTGCTACTACTAAAGTAAATAGAGTATTTTTTATAATGAGGATTGTCAAATCATGTAAAATATAAGGTTTATAACACCAAAATAATATATTCATAGAAAATTAATATCATAATTTTTATCTTATCAAGCCCATATATCTAGTGTATATTAAAATATAATTAAGAAAATATCATATTGTATAATACATATCATATAGGCCAACCAAACATAGAAGATTTTATGAGGAGATCACCTAAATTAACAAATCATGCAATCAATTCAAACAAATATGATTATTTCTATTATCAGTCCAATGGACTTATTATACACTACAACATAACTATCATATTGTACTATCTGGGCAAAATTTCGTACACTAGCAGCTTATAGTTTTTAAGCCCGTTCATATAAATAATATTCTACAATAAGCTATAATGTGATTTTTATTTTGCTATAATGTAATAAACAATCACATTTTAGGTTCATAAACCCCTTTAAAATTTCGTTCACTAGCAGCTTATGGTTTTTAAGCCCCTTCGTATAAAATGTGATTGTTATGTTGAGAGACTATTATTATTTAAAGATTGAGGAGAAAGAGTTTATTTCTTGCTACCTTTCTTATTTTGATATTTTTCTACCATATATTCAAAGAGAGGGTTACACGTAAGATTATACACTTTGATTGAGAGTTTGATGTTTTGATCAAAATAACTTCTGCAAACTTATTATAAGGGATGTATTGATTTTGAGGAAGAGCTTCTTGTATTTTGAAAACTAGCTGAAGGGCTAGAATAATCGTGCTTACCATGGAGGAAACAAAATATATGGGTTTTTTCCAATACACATGAAGACGGAAGGCTTCTCTTCCTTATCATGGAGGAAACAAAATCCTTCAATGACGGTTCTTATCTTAGTTTTAGGATCCATATTTGATTGTTTATTGACTGCTACATTATAATTCTTCATGTTCTAGATCATTTCTCAATATTTTATTAATGAAATATTTGAACTTCTCCAAATGATCAAATGAGCCTTATCGATTAAAAGCCTCACTTCATAACGGTAAGTTTTCCCTAAAATTTTCACAAAACCATTTCTTTTTGAAAAAATAAAAGAAAAATAAAGCTAAATAAACCAATATAACTTTACCAAAAGAGAATTCTACATCAGTATTTGACAAAAGTTTGACTGATAAAATAAGAAGGCTTTATTTGAGATGATTTTCTTATTGCTTCTTAAAATAATTTTTTAATAAAAATAAATAAAATTTTTGTACTAAGAACTATTTAAAAAGTAGCCAAAAAGCGTCTCAAAGCCTAAATAAAAAAAGTGCCCATTGAACTCGAGTGATCAGACTTGAAGCCTAAATAAAAAAAGTAGCTTTCTTTTTTCTTTCAAAAGTTTAAGATGACAGACATTGCAACTACGACAGTGTTCCTACTTGAACTTGAAGATATAAACAAAAAAAAGCATGACAGTAATGAAAATAGCAGGTCTACGGCTGCGAAAATCCACAGGCCTAGTCATAGTGGTGTAGCGAATCCTAAAAAAAAAAATAATGAATGAAACAATTAACATTCAATTAGCACATAGCCCCACAAAAGTAAAAATAATTTTGTATGTTAAAAATTTAACCACTATATTGAACAAAATTAAATTATAACGCCAATTTATGGTTCTTCATTCTTAAATTCAAAAATAAATAAAGATTTATAGCCTATAAGAAATAAATTCGATTAGAAAGACGTGAAAATGGCAAACTAAATGAAGATGACCAAATTAAGGTTAAATATAATCTGTGAAATCTACCAGTCCGGCACTTCATACGCCAAAGCAACAGCTTCCTGTTGAATTCTCAGCACGTCAAAGTCACACACATATGAGGTTCTAGCTTTTGATATTCGCAACTAAATCTATAACACGAATAATAATGAACCTAAGATTATGCTTCAACGACAATACATTCATGTGAACAACTACCACATCAAGCCCATACACATTTCAAACCGTTACATTCATGTGAATGGTTTTCAGTCTTTCAAATATGACTGAAAGGGAAAAACCTTTTGCATGTCATGGGTGTACGATTGCCCTAATTAAGCAATGTGCACACATATTATTAAAGAGGAAACTCGTGCAAATCCTGTGAACAAGTAATACACCGCAAGCAAGTCATACAAAGCTTGACCCTTAGAGATAGGATACAAAAAGAGCATATACGTAAAAAGGTTGGAGTAGCTCCAGTGGAAGATAAGATTAGAGAGAGTCGCCTTAGATGGTTTGGTCACATTAAACGGAGGCCTTCCGATGACCCGGTTAGGAAAGTTGCGGTATTAGATTTGACTTATGTTAAGAAAGGTAGAGGTAGACCTAAAAAGACTTGGTTAGAAAATATTAGAAATGATCTTTCTTTATTAGATTTAAATGAAAATTTGATTTTTAACCGGACACAATGACAAAAAAGGATTCATGTAGCCGACCCCATGTAGTGGGACAAAAGCTTGTTGTTGTCAATGACAAAATAAAATTATATAAATACCCTGATGATTGTCATCTACTCCTATAACTTAAAGCAAAATTCAAACAACTTCCGTAAAGTTTTTCGATTGTGACAACTTAGGTTAATGTCAACACACAAATAGCCGATGTGTTATCGAGCGTATCGTTATAACTCTCCCAAATTATCTCTCGCTAGTTGTGACATGGCACATAACATATAAAAGGTGCTTCTACTGTCAAATTGCACACATAGCAAAATGACATCAATAAAATATGATCACGGCCAAAGTCCACATCTTCTATAATAACTAATGAACCCATTAATAATAAATTATAGGGCGCACTTAATAAGGCATAATGTCATTTGTTAATTAAGACCAGCTTAAATGTGTGCCTGTAGACAAGCATCCACCATAATTTTATAAGGTTTCCTTCGAAAAAAATAACTCGTGGCAACTGACAAAAATCATTCAATCATGCTGGGTTAATTATATCATCTAACTAAAAATATCAAGGTTCATAACAGCTAAAGAAGTCAGAACAGTGAGACTTAATCAAGTTTATCACCATTCTCCCACCAATGCTTGAAGCTAACTGTAATAAATTTCTTAATCCTAAATCAAGTTTACTGCTATTATATGCTAAGTACTTAGTCTCAACAACTAACCTTCATTGAAAATTTTCTCTCATTATCAAGAGAGAGAATTAATTAGGCAAGCTTGCACATATGAGAAATAGAATAAAATCAGAATCCTCATGAAATGAGGGTAAAATATTTGGGTAATATCTTATATTCAATTTAATTGACTTTTTGAAAATTTGACCTAGAGCCACCAAAAATCTCTCAATAGAGGCTGAGGCTTGAATTTTTGAAGCCCAAACATTAATGTTGTCTACAAACCGTCATAGATTTCAGAATTATTTAGGAATAAAAAATATCAAAAATAAAAGTTTTCTTTTGAGTAAAGTAGTAGAAGTATCTGAGCTTTGGGGTCATTAATAAACAAGTTCTATTTATTCTATTATTAAATCTCCTTTTCTACTCTTATCTCACATTTAGCAAGTTCCGTTTCCCAAGCAAATATTGATCTTACATGAAGGCCTTTATAGCAAAACAAAAAATTTAGCTTTCTAAAGTTGTATTCAATTAAGCAATCCCCATATGCTTACATATAAGAAATACAACTTTTTTAACATATTACCCAAGGAACACTCCCTCGAAACTTGCTCTCCTCATTTTTCCTCATCCTTCTATCTCTACCACTCTATGCTATAATTAAAGAAGAAATAATGGAGGAAGAAAAAAAAGAATATTGGAAGAATTAGAAGGATGAAGGAGAATGATCTGGGAGGGACTCAAGATATAATACATATCTCGAGAACCTATAAATACAGACTATATGGAAGAAAAGAAAGGAAATTTGAAAACGTATGAACTTTAAGTGCTATTTATGTAAACCTTAGATATCTACGAGACCCTTTCTTTACATTAGACAGGCTAGTTTTATTAATAGATCGATATATTTGGCCATCTTATCTCTTATTTTCAATCTTGATTACAGCCTTGGCTTCTATAAACTATAACTTGATAGGCATAGCATATATTGCAGATATAGAATAATAAATTGCTATTTATTTATTACACTAACTAATTAACTAGAAAAATCTTTTCATACGTTCTTCTTATCAAGATCACTACCTATTACAAGGCAAACGTAATAGCCCAACAATAAATCTAGAGTTCCATAAGTTATCATTCATCTCCTCTTAAATAAAAGTTGATATTTTTTTCGATAAAGTTTGAAAGAGAGAACTAAAAATTTGAAGAAAAGTTTGTGATGTCTTTTTATTACAATATTTATAGGGTTTATACAATCTCAGGAGAATTTCTAATAGAAAATATTTTAAAATAATTTTGGTTTTATGCACTCCCCCCCCTTTTGTTTTTTTCCCCCCCCCCCCCCCCCCAAGCGCAAGAAAAAATGTTTTATTTGAAAGATTCCAATATTTTTTGATTGAATAGAAAATTAAAGGTACGCTCTTTAGTGTTACATTAGCTAATGCTTTTGCAAATAATATTTTTATTGATTTCTTAAAAAATCATAAGAATTTAAGATGTGGCTGATACGTCCAGCCTAGACCAACCTAGATGGCCGACCCAGCCCAAGCCAAGCCAGGGGTAGCATAAGGGGGAAGTTTGGCCCCGCATGTGGGCCTATGCGAGCTTTTATTCATTATGTAAAAAAAGGAGAAATCAATGTAGAGCAGTTTGGGAAGGTTTTCATTTAGAAAATAGGGCTGATTTGAATTAAAAAAGATTTTATTTAGGGAGAAATGACTGATGTGAATTAAGATTTAGGATAGAATTATGAAGGATTATATTAGGGTTAATAAGTTTGTTTTAATTTCATTATGAGATTTGTAATTGTTATAGTTCTCTTTGAAGTAGTTCCTAGCAGCGACTAGAATTTGTGGGAGAGTCAATCTACCTCTCGAATAGTATATCAATCGTATCATTCATTATTATTAAAGTAATCAAAAATCAACTAACACACTCGTGTTCCTATAATTTCTTCTTATTTATTTTGTTTCTTTTGCTTCCAAGTTGGGTAATATTGGTATCAAAGCGAGGTTTTGGAAAGATGACAATAAAGAAGATGAATATGTTGGAAGGCGAAGAAGAGCAAATCAATTTCAGGATGGAGGAGAAATTCTCAATCATCGAAAGAAGTATTTTAGCCATGAAAATCGGATGGAGAGTTGATTTGGAGGGTTGGAGGAGATGATGAGAAAGCTCATATAGAAGCAATCCAAAACTCCACTAGCGGTTAATATTGCTAATCATTTGATAAGGATTCCCTTGGTCGAATTTAAGGAAAAGGAGATCAGATGGGAGGAATTCGAAGAGGAGAGATTCTTTCATTAAGAGCCACATCCTAGGGTTATGATAAGGGGTGAATTAGGGTCTCCAGATAAGGTAGGGGTGTCAATTAGGGTAAACATGTCAGGTTTGGGTTGAACCCGACTTGACCCGGGCATAAATGGGTTGACCCGAACAAGACCAGCACGGGTTGCCGGGTTGACCAGACCCGACTCGCAAACCCGCGGGAGCTCGCACGACTAGGCAAGGCTGCAGGCCCGCAGGAGCTCGCACCTCATGGCAAAACAAGGTTAGGTCGTGCAAGATCCGGGTTAAACGGGTTGACCCGCAAGTTGTCGAGTTAACTCGAATCCGACCCATTTTTCAAACGGGTTGACCCGAACCCATATTTTTCTGGGTCGGGTTTCGGGTCATGTCAATTTTTGACACCCTTAAGATAGCCCAATTATTACGTCCTCCGACCGGACGTAGAGGAACGTCCGGTCGGAGGCAAATTCCCGCCAAATACCGAATTTTACCGAGCAAATACCGAGCAATATCAAATAATAATGAGGAATAACATCATGTTAAGACCCAATACCGAGTTTTTTCGAGCTATCTTGAGCAATACCGAGTTTTACAAAAGTTGTACCGAGTTTTTCCTAGAAAAAACTCGGTAGAACTCGGTATTTCTCGATATAGCTCAGTATAACTCGGTATTGGTCTTCAAAGAGCGGTATTCATCATTATTATCAAATAATACCTAGTTGTACCAAGTAAATACCGAGTTTTTTGGAGAGAATTTAGTGCCGACCGGACGTTCCTCTACGTACATTCACCGGACCAAATAAAAGTTCCTTAAGATAGGGGGCATGAAGGAGGGAATTTATGGTGAAGGTGGTGGGGTGGTCGGCCACTATGAGTGTCATTTCGGGCAAAAGGAGTGGGCGACCAGAGATGGAAAGGTTGAGCCGATGTTGACCTCCAAACTAAAAAAATAGACAAAAAAATAAAAAAGAGATGAAACATTACCTGATCGCATCCTGTGCAAATCTAGCTCAAACCCTGTCGTTTGCTACAGTGCCACAGACTGCAACGGCGCAGAAACTGTCTATTCGCGCATGATCGAACCTAAAGCTCCCGTCACTTCTCTCCCATTTTCTTCCACGCAAAAACTCCCACCT